AGCAGTAAGAAGGGCTTTCTCCTCAAAGTCCTCCATGAATATGTCGGCGACTATGGGAGACACAGGTGAGCCCATCGCCACACCATCTACTTGCTTGTAGAACTCCTCCTTCCACAATAGATAGCCAGATGTGAGGCAATGTTCAAGTAGTATTGCATATTCTTGAGGCATGTTATTTTCTTCTAGCTTCCTAGTTACAATTGAGATGCAGTCCACAATAGGTAGGCATGTAAATAGTGACTGAACATCAAAACTGACCATAGTTTCATTGTTAGCGAGATGTAGGTCTTTTATCTCACTCACAAAATGGTATGAATCCTTTGTGTGTGCTCTGGTATGTCCTCTCAGTGGTGATAGTATTTTTGCTAAGTATTGTGCCAGCTTATAAGTTGGTGAATCGATCTGGCTCACTATGGGACGTAGTGGAGCGTTTGGTTTGTGTATCTTCGGTAACCCATTAGAGGCAAATAATTCTTTAGCTTTCCTAGATGTTTTAGTCATCCGAAATCCTGATAACACTATTGGTCACACTGTGTATAGGAAAAAGACCCATACCAACCGATATCTAAATGGTGAATCTCACCATCATCCTTCACAGTTAGCTACCGTGGGTAAATCTTTGTTTCAGAGAGCACGAGGGATCTGTGACAGAAAACATCTGGCCGCGGAGCTTCAGCACGTCAAGCAAGTATTGCAAGACAACAAGCTTCGGGTCCCGCGCCTACGTCACAGTAAACGAGTGAAGCCGGCAACAGTCGAGCGCGCACCTGCTCTACTACCATATGTTGGAGGAGTCACGGACAAGATTGGCTACATCTTGAAGCGAGCGTCCATTAAGACATACTACAAGCCGCTGAAGAAGATTAGTCAATTTTTACCATCCATCAAATGTAATATTCCTCTACAAGATGCAGGTGTGTACAAGCTAGATTGTGAATGTGGTCTCTCTTACATAGGTCAAACAAAGAGATCTATAAAAACCCGCGTGAAGGAACATATAGCTGATGTGAAGCACCGACGCTCCGGGAAGTCTGCAGTCTGCGAACATGTTCAAGATCGTCCCCACCATTACATTAGATTTGATAAACCACAAATTCTCGCAAAAGAACACCGATTCCTACCAAGGATGATACGCGAGGCTATTGAAATTAAAAAACATCCAAATTTCAATAGAGAAGATGGTTGGGTGCTACCATCTGCTTGGGATCCTATAATCAACAAAATTAAACCCAAACCCAAGCATACCACTGCAAGACTTCATGATACTATAAGCTCGTTTTGCGTAAATCGGACCAAAAATTAATATTAAAAAACTGAAGGTAGCCGGACTAACTATGACATTGGGATGTCAAACATCTCAGTCCCCCCGTGACCATGGGCGCTGTAAAGCACCCGAAACGTCGGGATAATAATAAAAATAAATTAAAGTAATTAAACGCGATAAAACCCGTAAATAATAGTTTTATTCCATATAGTTAATATTATAATTACTTACTAGAATAAATTATTATAGTATCTATCTATCCTTGCCATTATCTAATTACAATATTCCTTGCGAGATCAGCATAATGTATTCGTGTCCATTCTGAGCACCCGGAAACTTATTTTATTCCTTGGAACATGTACTCTGTGGCGGCATTCAAACAGTGTCAAATGTAGTGCGTGCGGCGCGGCGGCGACGATTGAATGCGATATCAATAGAAGCCGCCGGCGCGTGTATCTTGATCTTGTACTTCCGAATAGCTGCAAAATTTCTTTGACAGGTCAGTATTCGACCTTTGATGATGCCGACAACAAGACGCCGCGCACTATCAAAGTGCCGATGGTCAAAACTAGGGATGCACCGTTTTTTCTTTTAATGGATATTTTCATCCGCTATGTATGTTTATAGTATTGTTCGTAATGCGCATAAGTTCAATTTTCCAAATTTTTTTTTATATATTGTTTGCGTCTCATAGAGTCTCTAAGCGTATACCCGAACTCCTATACTCCCTGAAACGACACTAATTCCTAACTGCAAGACGCAAGAGTCTCGCAGGCTTAGTCTTGTTCTTGCTCAAAATCTTGCACGGTCAGTCTTGGTCTTGATCTTGCTAAAATTAGGCGGTCTTGTTCTTGGTCTTGCAAAAATGCAAGAACAAGATCAAGACCGATTTTGGGCAACACTAATTTATATATACCAAGAATAGGGTTGGCCCGAGTGTACTGCCCTGTGGGACACCAAACGAGCAAGAAAGGTCTTGACTGATATATTTATCAAGTCTGACATACTGAGTTCTACCAGTTAAGTAAGTTCTAAACCAGGACAGAACTACACTCGAACACCCACATTTCGTAGTCGAGTCAACAAAATTGGTATTGAGACGGTATCAAAAGCTTTCTGCAAGTCAATAAATACACCTATTTACATTTATTACCTTCATCTACATGATGAGTAATGTTTTTTGTGAGTTTAAGAAGAGAATCTTCGGTTGATTGGTTAGATCTGAATCCGAATTGATTTTTTGAAATATAGCTATTTGTCTCTAAGTAGTTTGTTAATCTTTTATTTACTAATTTTTCGATTACTTTGGATAATACACATAAGAGCGAAATGGGTCTATAATTAGATGTAAAATATTTGTCACCTGATTTGTGAATTGGGATTACTTTTTTAAGCGTAGTTGGGAAAATACCTGTGATAAAACTAGTATTGCAAAGATATGTAATAGGTTCTGCAAGGAATTCTCGAAAGTATTTTAGTACATTAGTAGGTATTCCATCCCACCCTGAAGCACTGCTATTTTTAAGGCTACTAATAATTCTTTTGACTTCACCTGTGTCTACTGGACTAAGTGACATCGATTGAAGTGGGGGCCAGGTCTAATTTATTGGCTTTACAAGCTAAGGATGATTCATTCAATTGTTTCTTGTTCAGAATATTACGAGCTAATTCACCACCAATAGAGGTAAAGTACTCATTTATTTTGTTTAGAGACGCGTAGGGGTTATTTTCTATTTTTAATAATTCCGTAGGTAGGTACTGATTTATTTTGTTTTAATTACTTATTTCTTTTATTATTTGCCATGTTTTTTTTGAGTTACCAACAGACTTAGCCAACTGTAATTGGACAAACAGCCCGTGGGCATGTAAGACTAGTGAATTCCCCGCCTTACTTTTCTACGCAGTCGAGTTTTTTAACTTCCCGCTAAGAAAATAGAAAATTTTAAAAAATCAGGAAGTTATTGTTTTTACGCCGTTCTTAGAAAATTGAGATCACAGGAAACCACCATGACAATTTTTCGATAGTGTCTGTATGTGTATGTGAGTGTGTTTGGATGTATGTATACCTCTTATAACTTTTGAACGGCTTGACCGATTTGGAATAACTTTTAAACGGCTTTACCGATCAATTCGAAAAACTAATCAGCTTTTAACCTTGAAAAACCACGTCGATCGCCGCCGGTCCGGTCAAAATTCAATCCGCCTACCAAGCGTGATGATAAAGGGAGGCTCCACATTTGTCACCCACCCCCCGCTATTAGTACCTAAGTGTTCTGTGATTACCACACTACTCGGTTTAACGCCGATTAGTTGTTACGACAGCTGTGCACAAGCGTTCGGCAGTCGACTCTTTCGAAAGTCTGTCCCAGCGACTGTCCACTTGCATTCGGTAGGTAGTCGATTCCCCAGAACGGCCGTCGAGACGGCTATTCTCTTACGTTCGGCATTCGACTCATCGTTCATCATTAGACTTTTGTCGAATACAGTTCGGCGGTCTTCAGTCTACTACGCCGTTCGGATGCCGTCGGAAATAAAATCATGCGAGCGAATCATTTTAACGCCGTTCGGCCGCCTCTCCGATGCAGTTCGGCTGCAGTCGAAAACTTAAAAACGTCGACGTGGGTCTTCGGCTATTTTCAGCACCGTACATATGCGATCATTTAATCGGCAAACCGCACGTTTTGCCGTCGGCTGACATCGCGTTGCATCGTCCGAGCCGAGCCGATGAGAATGCCATTAGCAACACCCGTATTTCGTAGACATAAAATCGTCCCTACAACGGGAAAGGGTCATGTCGTTACCCTTGTTCTTTAAAAAAATATAACTGCATGCAGTTAAATATATCAACTCATCATCATCATTACAGCCCTTCACAAGTCCACTGCTGAACATAGGCCTCCCCCAAGTAATGCCACAAAGCACGGTCCTGAGACAACTGCATCCATCGACTTCCTGCATATCTTACTAGGTCGTCACTCCATCTAGTGGGGGGTCGCCCTACACTACGCCTACCGGTACGAGGCTGCCACTCGAGAACCTTTCTTCCACATCGGTTATCGGTTCTTCGAGCTATATGGCCGGCCCATTGCCACTTCAGCTTACTAATCGGTTGGGCTATGTCGATCACTCTGGTTTTACTGCGGATATCCTCATTTCTGAGTCTATCACGCAGAGAAACTCCGAGCATAGCCCTCTCCATAGCTCGCTGAACGTTCTTGAGCGTCCTCATACGGCCAGCAGTGAAGGACCACGTCTCAGATCCGTAAGTCATCACTGAAAACACGCACGGGTCGTACAATCTAGTTTTCAGAGTTTGAGGTATACCTGACGAGAATATGTGACGTAATTTCCCGAACGCTGCCCAGCCAAGTTGAATCCGTCGATTGACCTCTCGGTCGAAGTTGGACTTACCTACAACTACCGGCATAGGTGTGACATGATCATTCTCGTATCAGCGTTAGTGAAATAATCTTAAAATATCCAGGCAGGTGATACGCACCAGTGTCAAAGGTATGAAACTTTTGGTACTTACCGTCAATCCAAATGTCAAAATGACGATTAAAGGAAATCCTCCCTATGATGGGATAGACCCATTTACAACAGAGGACTTTTAAGGACTGAGGACAAGGAAAAAGAAATAAAATAAAAACAAACAATAAAAGTACTTACCATAATAGAAAATATTTGGAATTTTTATTTACTCAAGAAAAAATCATAACCTACACTTAAACAGTAACTAATGTAGTGATACTTTGCATGTCAACTGTGAATCGGTCTGTTCGGAAACAAGTTTTAATATATTACTATTAGACAACATATTTTTTGGTTCAAAGCCCGAATTGATCCAAGATTCCAGCACGTCCGTACTGGGCAACATTGTTCGTAAGGTATTCCTAACATATATGTATGCTTGGGGAGAGTACTTGTAAATACTAAGTGCGAAATTCTTCAAATCATCCGTATGTTTTGTTGGCATTGCTAAAACAAGTCCATTGGTGTCTTCCTTAATTTTATCCTGCAGTAAAAGTAGAATTTTTGACTTTTTCTTCCTTTTCTGAGTCAAAATATTTTTCTTCATTTCTATGACCTTCTTCAAACGTATTAAAAATCTGTTCTGTCTGTTATGTACTCTCATGTTGCATTTCAATTTGTCTCGTAGACCGATCGCTTGCCTCTGCATTCGTTGAACTTCTGTGAATAGCTTTAATAACTCAACTTTGTCTCCCTCGGTGCCATTCTTCTCATTTTGTTTAAGTTTGACTTTACTGTCATTAATTTTGATATCTTTATGGTTTTGTTCTTCCACTAATTCCATTTTACTATTCTCTTCTTGCATATCATCTTCATGGTCTAAGGTTTCTTCATCAATATACTCTACCTAAAAAAAATTATTAAGTATATTATGTTCCCTAAAAATTTGACATGGTGTTGTAAAATATCAAGGAAACTAAAACACCACCTTGTAAGTAGCTACTTCAGCTTAAGGAAACATATGACTAGGGCCCAGATTAATATGTAAATACATATTTTTGATTGAAATGGTTTTCGTTCTTAAAAATATTTTCTACATAAATTATGATATAAGGTGTGTTGGGGTAATACCGGACGATTTTCGACTAGTTAAAAGAGTCGGGCAAAAACTTTATTTTCTCGACATCCATATACGTCAAATTTCTGAAACATGGCGCAAATTGTTAATAAAAGCGATAGGGAAAGACCGGACGGACGAAAAAAATACAAAAATTACCTTGTTTTATAAAATACTGCGCAGCACACGCCCTACTTTTCGGAACGAATGGCTGAAACTTGGGGTCGGGCAGAATAAAATGGAGTCTTGTACCATATTGCTAGCTTTCAAAAATATAGCATAAATCACCGGGAATTTGAATTTTACGGTCTTACCCCATCACCGATCTTACCCCAATGCACTATATTTTGATCAAGAAAATGCAATTTCTATTTTGCATATTTAAAGTATAAATCCATATTTCACAAGACATTAAATAAATTAATCCATATCTTCATTATTTTATGTTAGATGAATCAGCAGCTCTGTGAAATGCCTAAAATGAGTTTTGCGACAAGACGACATGCGAGCGATCGATCACGAGTAATCTCGAGTCCGCCGCGCCCGCATCACCCGCGCTGCACCCGGATGGCCCCGCACCGCCTTTCATCACCTGACTCATGCTCGTTCGTGCCCAACAGTTCGTTAGTGACGATCGTAATTGCCAGCCGTGTCGATTTGTCGCGTGTGATTTTATATTTTTACTTACTCGCATTGCAAAAATACTTAAGGAAAAGCAACCAATGCGGTTCAAATTAGAAAAGTATATCGAAGATTTCCCAAACCAATCCCTAACTACAGATGGAAAAGTACTATTTGTAATGATTGTGAAAAATCTATATCCACCGAGCAACGTTTTTGGATATCACAACATGTGTCTACTGGTAAACACAAGCAAAATATTACAAGAACAAATTTAAGCAACAATTTTTTACTAATGCAGTCGCAAGTGTTAATTAACAATGATTTATAAAGAATATTGTATTTTAATGGCAAAACTGCGTCGGTTGTCAACACTGTGTCTGTGGTTATGAAGGAATATTCAATACGACGTTATAGGCGCTCTATGTTGTTGTTTTGAGGTTAATAAAAAGCACGTTTTATGATCAAAGTATTATATCTTTAATTATCCCCATAATCCTTAACAGGGTTATGGGCCCAGTACAGCCATCAGTTTTATAGTGGATTAATAAGTGTTAACTTTTTAAGTGTTAAGTTAACTTAGTTTAACGTGTTAAGTTAACTTTCGCGGGGGACAATTACAACGCGTGGGAGTTTCGATTAAAAAGTATCCTGCGGGATAATGGAGCAATAGAGGCGATCGAAAAGGAGGATTTCAGTAAATCTACGGATAACAAGCAATTGCAATTGGAAGCTAAGGCCCAGGCTATCATAATAGCGGCAACCGCCGACAGTCACCTCGAATACTTAAAGGACAGATCTGCTTATCAAATGATTAAAAGCATGGAAGACAGTTTTAAGACGAAAGGTACACGATCTAAATTATTTATAAGAAGAGAGTTGTCCGATATGAAATTCGACGAACGGAAACGTTTAATGGAACATTTTATTGACATGGAAAAGCTATTTGCACAACTTAGGGATGCTAAGAAAAGGTTAACTATTTACTCCTATCCATGCCGAAATCTTATGAAGGCATTATCATGGCTTTGGAAACTGTGGAGGAATTGAAAATGGACTTCGTGAAAAACAGACTGCTTGGGGAAGAGGAAAAACGGAACAGAGGAGCGACCAAATCCCTTGAATCTTCAATCTTCTTGTGTTATGGATGTAGACGCCCCGGACACAAAAAATCCCAGTGTAGGAGCACTCAGCAGGCACGACACAGGACTGGCGACTGGAGACTTCACGGCCGTGGACGTAGCGACTGGAAGTACAACGGAGACCGAGACGACAGTAAGGCAACTCGTCATCAGACCCAGGGGAGAGGTAGTGGAAAGTCATTTCTTACAGGCACTGAAAATACTGAAGGTAACAAATTTGTAAGTTTTATGTCCTTTAGCCCTGACACCGAACAGAAGAATAAAAATAGTTTTAAATGGGTTGTTGACTCAGGTAGTTCATTTCATCTTGTAAATGACATTAGTTTATTCTTTAATTATTGTAAACTGGATAAGCCAATTAAAATTTCAGCTGCCAAAAATGGCGTTGATTTGGAGGCTGTTGGTGTAGGAACAATAAAATGTTATTTAATTGATTTTAAAGTTGATATTATATTAAATGATGTGTATTATGTACCACAATTAAGAAAAAAAATATTATCTGTTTCCAAAATGGAAAAGCATGGTTTAAAGATCATCTTCAATAAAGGGGAAGTTAAAGTTTTCTCACAAACCAATGAATTGCTTATGGTTGGGCATAGACTAGGGTCCCTTTATTTTGTAGAATTTAAAGTAATATTTGATGATTGTTATTAAGGTGCAAAATCAGACAACAATGATAATTCAGTAGAAATTTGGCACAATCGATTTTCCCACTTAAGCTATAGTAGTTTGAAAACTTTAGTAAATAAAAATATGGTTGATGGTTTAACTGATTTGAAAGAAAAAAATTTAGAAAATAGACATTGTGAACCATTCATACTTGCTAAGATTACACGCCTTCCTTTTAATGGAAAAATGTATAAAGCTAGGAAACCCTTAGAGCTAGTACATACCGATGTTTGTTCTGTTAGCCCTTTTACGTGGGACGGGTATAACACTTTGTTACTTTCATAGACGATTTTACCCACTTCACCGCAGTTTACTTATTAAGAGACAAGTCTGAGGTTTTTGAATATTTTAAGACTTATTATAATTATGCTAGTAATCATTTTGGTCATGGTATATTGAAGTTAAAATCAGATAATGGTGGTGAGTATATTTCTAGAAATTTTAAATCCTTTTGTGATGAAAAAGGCATAGTATTGCAGTATACTGCTGCATATAATCCCGAAATGAACGGAGTAGCTGAAAGAATGAATCGTACTCTGACTGAAAAGGCGCGTGCATTATTGTTAGATTCACAGCTTCCTAAAGAGCTTTGGGGCGAGGCCCTGCGATATGCGGTATATGTCACTAATCGTAGTCCCACTGCTTCCCTTAATGTTACATCATTTGGAATGTGGGAGGGAAGACGTCCTAATGTGTCTAATTTTAGAATATTTGGGTCATCTGCATATGCCCATATTCCCCAAAAACTCCGAATGAAGTTGGACCCTCGTGGTGTGAAATTGAAAATGGTTGGGTATGCTCCGGGGGGATACAGATTATGGGATACTAATGAAAGGAGGATACGCATAGAACGAAACGTATTGTTTAGGGAAGAAACATGTTCAGAGTCCCCTGAAACGATTAGTATTGACGTGGAGTCTATCTCGGATAGGAAGGAGAAGGATGGTGGTAGTAGTCCTGAGAAAACCAAAACCCCTTTAATTTCTGATAAAACCCAAACCCATGGTACTGAGAAAATTTTAACTTCTGATAATAATTAAGAGTCATTACAACCTGAGGGAAGGGATACAGATAATGTTAATTCTAGGGAGAAAAGAAAGAAAAATAAACCAAAATATTTACAAGATTTTGTCACTGATGATTCAGATTTAAGTGATATATTAATGGCATCATTTTTATCTTGTTCTAATGGTAATGTCCCAAAAAAGTATAATGATATAGATTCTTATGACGATAAAGATAGGTGGTATGAAGCGGTAAATGAAGAAATTAAATCTTTAGAGGATACCAAGACTTGGGAAGTTGTAGAAAGACCAAACGATGCTAAGATAATTGTGTAGATGGATTTTTACAAAAAAGGCGGGTAATGTATATAAAGCTAGATTAGTTGCAAGGGGGGTTTCAACAGGAAGGTAGTTTTACCGAAATTTATTCTCCCGTTTTGAAATTACAAACTCTCCGAGTTCTTTTATCATTAGCTGTTCAAAGGAACTATTTAATTCATCAAATGGATGTTAAAGGTGCTTTCCTTCATGGTGAAATTGATGATGTTGTATACTTAAAGCCCCCACCTGGTGTAAATATAAATACAAATTATGTCTTGAAATTGAAAAAATCACTTTACGGTCTTAAAAAATCTTCAAAAAATTGGTACAATAAATTTTATGATTTTATGAAAGGTAAAGGGTTTCAAAGAGCAGAAAGTGATTATTGTTTATATTTTAAGGATGGTATTTACATTTTGTTGTATGTGGATGATTTATTAATTTTAGGTGAGGACAATTCAAGGATAAATAATGTTAAAGAAATTTTAAGCACAGAATTTAAAATGAAAGATCTAGGATCTAAAAATTTAAAATATCTGGGTATTAATATTATTCAAGATAGTGACTGTTTGTATATTAACCAGAAAAATCTATATTGACAAAATTTGGTATGTCTGAATCAAACGCTAGTGAATCACCCATGGAAGTTAATGTTAATCTTGATGATTGTACGGTTGATTACTCTTTAGAGCATAAATGCAGAGCTTGTATAGGTTCTTTAATGTATGCTGTAGTAGGTTCAAGACCTGATTTGTGTGCTGCTGTTTCATATTTAGCAAGATATCAATCTAGACCATCAGAAAGGTTATGGCAATGCTTGAAAAGGATTTTAAGATACATTAAGGGTACCATTAATTATAATTTAAAATATAATAAGAATTGTAATTCCGAACCACTAGTTGGATATGCTGATGCTAGTTTTGCTGTAGATAAAGATAGGAAATCTATAACTGGTTATGTATTTAAAGTATTTGATAACAGTGTTATTTGGCGTTGCAAAAAGCAGAGCACTGTAGCTTTAAGCACTACTGAGGCAGAGCTATACTCCCTCAATGAAGCCGCTCTGGAGGCTTGTTGGATTAGGAAATTATTAAATGAGTTAAAAGTTAGTTGTAACACCACTACCATATATGAAGACAATAAAAGTACAATATTTTCTGTATGTAATCCTGATCAAAAAAGAATGAAACATGTGGACATAAAATACAACTTTATTAAACATAAAATAGAATGTAAGTAAATTTCTGTTATGTATATACCTACAAAGCAACAAATAGCTGATATTTTTACGAAACCATTAAATAAAACCTCTCATTATCATTTTGTACATAAATTAGGATTGGAATAGAGTTTAGATCGCATTGTGTATTTTTAGTTTGTTAGTTCTGTTAATACAAATCATTGTATTGTTAGTTCTTACTTATTCATTGTAATGTTTGAAATTATTGTAATGTAAAAGAAAGGGGTATGAAAGTGAACGCAAGTAAGACGAAGGTTATGGTTTTTGAAAGAGAAGAAAGTAAAACGATTTGTGAAATAAGAATAGAAGGGGAGTTGATCGAGCAAGTAGATGAGTTTGTATATTTGGGCTGCGTATTTAGCAGGGATGGGAGATATGATATGGATATAGAACGACGAGTGAATGCGGGAAATAGAGTAAATGGGGCCCTGCACTCTATTGTGAAGAGTCAAAATGTGTCGAAAAAGGCACGTATGGCAATTCACAGTGCTGTGTTGGTCCCTATTTTAACATATGGTAGTGAAAGTTGGGTGTGGCAGAAGAAGCACGAGAGTAGAATGAACGCAGTAGAAATGCGGTCGTTAAGGAGTATGTTAGGGCTGAATCTTAATGACAGGGTAAGAAATTGTGTAATAAGAGAAGAATGTGGTTTGCAAGATGATGTTGTGACCAGGATTAAGAAAGGAATGCTTCGGTGGTTTGGTCATGTGGAAAGAATGAATGAGGAAAGAGTGACAAAGAAAATTTATGTTGCAGAAGTGAATGGCAGAGTCGGAAAGGGACGTCCTAGGCGAAAATTTATCGACCAAATTGGCGATTTATTGAAAACGGGCCAAATTAGGAGTACCCTTAACCGACGAGCATGTATGCGGAGGTGTATGGATGTGAAGGAGGCGAGAGAGGTGTGTCAGGATCGTGCCAAATGGAAGTCTGTAGTCTCTGCCTACCCCTCTGGGTGACAGGCGTGAGTGTTTATGTTTATGTATGTATTGTAATGTTAGTTCTATTAATATAAATCATTTGGGGGAGGTGTTAATTAACAATGCTTTATATAATATTGTATTTTAATGGCAACACTGCATCGGTTGTCAACACTGTGTCTGTGGTTATGAAGGAATATTCAATATGACGTTATAGGCTCTCCATGTTGTTGTTTTGAGGTTAATAAAAAGCACGTTTTATGTTCAAAGTATTATATCTTTAATTATCCCCATAATCCTTAACAACAAGCAGCTCCCAAATTTCTACTTCTCGAAAGAATTATGTGAAACGATGACATACCCTTATGGGAATTGAATAATCCTAGTTTTAAGTAATTCATGGAAAACTGGCAAACATATTCCTGATGAATCCACACTTAGGAAAAGTTGTGTCTGGTATTTATGAAAATTGTTTGGCTTAGATTCATGAATAATAAAGGATGGCCCTATATAGGTTGCCATTGGCGATACTACAGATTCTCAAACTCGGTGTCTTGGCAATGTGATTATTGGACGTCTATATGAAGTAAATGACAGCAAATCCTTTTATTGGCGTATGAAGAACTTCCTAAATGCTACCAAGAAACGTCAGCAAAACTTTTTAATAATGCAATTAGTTTTTTGTGGCCTGTTGGAGTTAAACATGATCAAGTTTTCTTACTACTTAGCGACGCTGCTTCTTATATAGTAAAAGCTGCAGGTACCCTACAAGTTTTGTATCCAAAAATGATTCATGTGACGCGCTTGGCTATTGTTATAACAGATTAGCTGAATGCATAAGGTCTCAGTTTAAAAAGGTTGACAGTTTAGTATAAAATTATTGCTTTTTACCACACCAGATAAAGACACTCGAAATTTCTTCCACTTTTCTAAAAGATTATTTGAAGATTATCGAAAGTATCGAAAAAAAAAGTTCTAGCATCAGAAGGTTCCGTTGCTAAAGTAGTGAGACAAAAATTAAGCTGCGTACTGGAAAAAAATAGCGTGCTGTGTGGAACATTAAAAGCCACCATAGATGTACCCTACTCACTTGCAGAATTATACAAATTTAAGTATGCTACAATCACATCCTGTGATGTTGAAAGTTCATTCAGCCAGTACAAAGCATTATTTCGTCCAAACAGAAAGGGTTTTAGTTTTGAAAAATCAAGGAAACATGTAATAGTTTATATTAATCTGGACCTTGTTTATGACCAAAACAAACAAATAAAAAAAGCAAACAACTGTAATAATATATTAATAGATCGTTATCACCCCTAAGGATAAGATGAAATGCCTCATTTCCAGTAAAAAAAGGTCTCCGGTTCTCTACACTCGCCATACGAAACACAGCAGCATTGAGTTGCTATTTGATGCTGGTATTTTGTGAGACAGTGGTCCTTTCCTGGTCGGGCCGGTCCATTTGATAACTATTATATAGCAGCAGCTTGACTCTACCATATATTAAAGTTTATTATTCTAACTTGAAACTACAAGCATTTTAAATAGATAATGTTGCCAGTTTACAGAGATCACCTACGACGATCTTAAATCATAATAAGTTAAAGTCAAATTGTTGCTATGTCAGTAAGTAAAATCCAATTATATAAAATTACTGGGAATATCTTATGGCCTTCAATAAATGACAGGATATTTACTCAAAACTGCCTAAAAGCCTAAAATATCCTGACCAAAGATGAACCCTAGAATGCAATAGGTCAAATAAATTAAGTTGAGCATCTGATACCACAGTCATCAATGTAAAATCTTTTGCATTTGAAGATGTTTAGCAGTGTAATTAAAATACAGTGAGTAAGTATTGATAAAAGTAAGAAATTAAGCTTTATGCTCAGATCATAGAAGCTCAACATGGAATGTTTATTTAGGAAAAAAATAAAATTTTGTTTATTGAATATCTTTTTTAAAATCCACTACTGTTTAAAAATGAGGTTTGTCTGACTTTTGAGAAGAATAGCTCCACAGGTTTTTTTTGCCTTTTTTGAGGTGAGTATAGGCAACTGTAAGAGGATTGTGAAGCTCTAAATTTTCATACAAAAGGCGTTTTCTCACCCGTAAACAGTCTAATTTTCATAATTTTTAGAAATGTTGATATAATGAAAAACTAGGTCCGTACGTTTTTATTTTAAGGAAAGATTGCTTACTGTTACAGTTTCCCAATGCTAGGGAAAACCCTTAACCATGGATAATAATTGATTACATAGATTTCCACTAAATAGTCATGTCATCATTTAAAGGCAGCTCTGCTTCCCGCTCCCGGTGACGAGTCAGTCTCTGCCCGACTGTTGAATCCCTAACATCCTCTCTGTATCATCGCGTGTCTGCCAGTTTCAACTCCGGGCCAATTAAATATTGTATTAAATTTATAAATATTACTATTTTTTTTATAGAAGAAGGGGCAAACGAGCATGAGGCTCACCTGATGTTAAGTGACTACCGCCGCCCATGATCAACCGCAACACCAGGAGAATTGCGGGTGCGTTGCCGGCCCTTTAGAAAGGAGTAAGCTCTTTTCTTGAAGGTCCCCAGGTCGTATCGGTCCGGAAAAATCGCCGGTGGTAAACTATTCCACAGAGAGGTTGTATGTGGAAGAAAACTAAAACTATTTCTGCTGTGTAATAAAAGTGTTTTTTTTAAAACCTAATTTACGAGGTCCCTATAACAGTACAATTATATAAGTTATTAGAATCTAAATACCTATATTTTTTACTTAAAAACTTCCTCGCGCGTTTTTTTTTAAATTAAGCTAAACTGAATTACTAGAAAAGAAAAACGTACAGACCTAAATTAAGGTATACTGAATCTAATGAGACCAAAAATATCTCATTTCGAAAAGGTTTAGGGGGGGTGAGGGGGGGTGAAAACGTTATCGCCCGAAACAATATTATATTTATTAAGAAAATGTAGGCAATTACTTCCAACGTTTGCAACTCTCTCTATCGCACGATGGCGATATGGAGCGAGCGATGTGAAACAGATAGCATTTTTGAAAACACCTACTCGCTATCAGTACTTCACAATCCTCTTAAGAAATACATGTAAGAATATCCACTATCCCATATCATCTATTGGATGTTGTAAGAGGTGACAGAGGGTAACTAAAACAGAATATGAAGCGTAAAAAACTTGCCAAGCTGCCTGACAACCGCAGAAACTGTGGCAAAGTCCTGCCCTTGTGGCAATCGGTGGGAGAGTCCTATTTTCAGCAGTAAACTTTTACAGGCTGTTATGGATGACAGCTGGTCTATTGTCTGCATCAACTAGGTTAGAAATCAGATGATTATAATGACTACTGTAGTTAACGTTTTAACAGAATCTACTTCCCCATATCATCCCATGGGTGTAATAAGTGGTAACAGAGTAAAATGAAATGAGATGGGCAGCAGAGCTGATAACACACAATATAAAAAACTGAGGTTGCGAACTCGCCTTCCAATCCTCGCATTAATGGCAAACATCCACCCTATTAGACAATCTATGGGGTAGGCTTATGTTAGGCATAGACTTTTGATAGTCTGTTAGCAATCAATGATTAATAGTAATTTTAATCTTACCTCCAACACATGATTTGGCAATTTTATTGAAGGTACTGCTTTACTATTCAGCACAACTTTATTCTCAAAATCACATTTAAAACAATCCACTGAGAAGTGCTGTATACATATGTAAGAGAAGTCAGTGGGTGTCCAATTATTTCTGCCAGTAAGGTCTGTCCATATCTGTCTCAAGTTTGGATCCTCTGGAAATCTGTGAATTTTAGGTTTCTTGCAATCACAATTTGGTTAAATTGTATTTTTTTAATATGTGTAATGTTATGTATAATGGAAATGACGAAGTTATCCTGTTTTTAAGAAAACAGTGAGACTACAAGCACAAAGTCCAATGAGTGGATACTGTGGTCTATCTATATATCTACAAGTGCTGTAAGATGAAAAAACTCATTATTCAAAACAAAAATACATTAAGCGTAAGATTCAATGAAATTGGCATATAAAAAAATGCTAGTTATTGTGCTAAATTTGAAATTTGGTCTATGTAGTGTTAAACAATAAATATGTTTAATTGTATTCCTTTGCATTCGTTAACCTGCAATTCTGCATTCTGATAGATTGCAGTCATTAAAATCAACATAATACTCTTGCAAAATACCAGCTTAAAATGGCAGCGAGCATTCAAATGTGTTTTGCTTGTGAACCGGTCACTCTTTTAACTGGAAACGAGGCATTACATTATGTGTCTCTATAGACATGGTAAGTGGATGCTGTAGCATAGGCTACAGCATCCACTTACATCAGAGGGACTATGTGCTCAGTTGTCACCACTATTCTATAAAAAACAATGCAAATTAATAAATTTCTAGTAATATAACTTTTCTGGCTAGGAGTAAGTCAGTCTAGTTAGGTACCACTGTCTTAGTTCTGATTTTATGATGTAATGTTAATTAAATAATAGATATAATAAGTAGAACAGTATTATTTTGGAAAATAAGTAATTGTTTGAGTAGTTTACCTTAAGTACTATTTTTATTAATCACAAAATTAAACAAAAATAAAATATTATCAGTCAAAATAATATTGCATGATGATATGACACCTTTTGACACAAATATGTGTCAGACTAATGCATAGTATTTATTATGAAATGGCATTATCCAAAAAATATTTATAAAAATATTGGGTTAAACTATAGACATCTGGTACCCGCTTATGGTGGTGGTAGTGAGAGGGGAGAGGGGTGGGGTTCAGAGGAAGACCCCCCTATTCTTTCCCATTTGTGGAAATGTATAGCATATGAGTAATAATTTTTTTTGTAAAATCATTACCACACTTTTTTACACAGGAAGATTGACACAAAGTTACTTCTGCAACAAATTCAGCACTGCGGGATGTGCAGCCCCTTCGCCCTTGTGTATCAAATCACAGGCACCCATGCTCGCCTCCACAGCTTTGGCATATTGGTCGCCTTCGACGACCAGTCTCAGCCGCGACGGCTCACTCACGGGCCTGCGATTCGCTACAGGGCGCAGGGGCTGCTCTCCCTCCACACCTAAGGCTTTACAAAAACACTCTAGGGTTAGGGCAGACAAGACTATGTAAAGTTGGTGTAGTGCTAGTTTTGGAACCGATTCGACCGATCATATCTATAGTCAGGTTGCCCTAAACTCTGCTATGATAGTGGTTAATGAAATAATGTAATGTGAATTGTTACAATTTTGTTTTCTGAAAAACCTCTTGACTGATCTCCATTGCAACTCAATTTCTTGTATACGAGTCCTGTCTTCAGTCACAAATGGATTATCTGGGTCCGAGAGATTAACTTTTTTTTTTACAAATTGCGTTATATGTGACTTAGAGACTAAACAAAACATGCAAGTTCTAACAATCATGTGCACCTCGAAAGGCATAGCAATGAACAGGAGAGGGCAGACACTTAAAAATTTTTTTCCTCAATGTATTCATTAATTGAATAATAACTTTTTTTATAAGTATCTCTTTTAAAGATATTATGAATTTATTAATATTTGTTTAGGCTTTTATGTATTCCGGCAATTTATTATAAATTTTTATTGACATCGAGTAAGGACCTGTACTGTGTAATTTTAATTTAGATTTTGGTTGCAAAAGGTTATTCTTATAGCGATTTTTTATGAGTGTATCTGTGTTAAAAAAACAAATTGACATATTTGCGTTTCCTTATATGCAATATTTAGTGAAATTTATTCTTAACGTAATTAATTCAAAAGACATTTCCGAAATCCAAAAACAGTGTAAAAGGTTCAAGCTTAACCCTGATAAACCTGTTGGAAACAAAATTAAAAAATTAAAGTATTGTGCCATACTGCACATATACTGCCATCAGACTCAAGACCCTAAATCTTTGGAGTAAGAATAGTGTCCCTCATACAGGCATAATTGATAGAATTCACTCAGAAATTCCTATCCTACAAGCCAAATACGATAGGATTCCTAAACAATTTGTTTTCAATAAGAAATACAAGATGCAATTAAATGAAAACAGCCAGCCGGAAGGATTAAGCCCAAAAGAGCTTAGAGTTTTCACCGATGGTTCTAAAACAAATGAAGGTGTAGGTTCTGGAGCTTTCTCTGAAGACCTCAATATTCACATACGCACACAGCTGGGTACCTATAACACGGTCTTTCAGGCGGAATGTATGGGTATCATTCAAGCGGCCATAGCAATAGATGCCAGGAAGGTTAATGACTTCCCCATCAGAATACTGACCGACAGTAGGGCGGTACTACAAGCTCTAAGTTGCAATGGGGTGAACTCGGGACAAATATATGAATGCCATCAACGATTAAATTAGGTATGTAAAAACAACAATGTGACTCTGCAATGGATAAAGGGACACAGTGGATCTAGAGGCAACGATGCAGCGGACAAACTGGCCAGAAGAGGATCGGCTCTGGCCACTATAGGGCCGGAACCAATCATACCAATCCCCTTTGGTAACGTTCGTTCACTGGTACGTAGACACTTCACTAATCAACACGCTCAGCTTTGGAAAAATCTAGTAGACTGTAGACAAGCTAGGGAGGCCCTACCTGTAATAAACAGTCGCTTAACCAAAGTTTTAATGAGACTGAACAAGCCGCAGATCAGGATAGTAACAAGTGCTATCACAGGACACGGCACCTTTAAAAAACATTTATTTACTATAGGTGTTACAGATAGTCCCCTGTGTAAACTAAAGTATTGTGACATCTTCTTCATAATATGAGAACAAATTGACATATTTGCATTTTGTTATAAGCAATTTTTAGTGAAATATCTTTTTATCGTAATTAATTCAAAACGCATTCCAACATCCAAAAACAGAGTGAAAGGTTCAAGCTTAACCCTGACAAGCCTCCTAGACTGAAAATCAAGTACCGGATATCTACAGCCAACCCAAAGATTGCTCTATGCTCTATATAATCCTTTACATAATTTTTCCAAATTTTTGACTATTTAGAATATTTTGTCTATTGAAAATAACTTACGTAAAATAATTACCCTTACCTAAAAAATGAATCAGAACTAAGATTTTTCGAATCTTCACACCCTAAAACTGCACAAGTCTTCGTAATTTCAGTATCAGCTTCAGCATTCTGTTTTAATTCCGGTGCGACCATTGCTGTAATTAGTAAAATATTTAACTTATAAAAGAATTTGAACAAAATGACATAAATATGAGCAAATATACATACCGATTGGAGTAGATTTTGACTTATTGTCTTCAACTTCTTTCATTTTAATAAGCCCCTGATTGAAATTCATTATTTAATAATTCGGAGCTGACATAAATTGGCAGGATTTCTACAAAAAGTACAGAGCATTTGAATATTTCTAACTAATTAACAAAACAACAGTTTTATAGGTCTAACCTTAAATTAGGATTTACAGTTTAAAAACATAACTTTGACGACCGGGGCGTCCACAACAGCCCCAATGAAAACAGGTTATATTTGAAAGTCTATTCGCCATTAATATAACAAATACTGCTGTTTTTGTTAGCTTCAGGTGCGAATTATAAATTTTTTATAAACAAATTAATGTTAACATTTGCGGAAATTATCAAAATCATAAATAAATATGTTACAAGATCACATTCACAAACGATCATTGCACAGACTACTAAGAGGATACTACTAGAGGTGGGTGTTGAATCAATAAACTGTTTCTTTTAACAGCTTTTCATTCGTCAATGTGTTAACTGTTAATCATTAATGAAAAAATAGGTTGATAGTATTAGCCGTCAATTTACGTCAACGCCCTCAACGCATTTGGAAATATTAGTAGTTTCGCCGGAGTAGACATGGCGTTAATTGTTAAATTTATTTATTTGTTAAAAGTTAACTGTTAATTTTTTTAGGAGATTAGATTAACATTTAAATATATTAGTTACTGTTGTAGTAAATTTATACTTTTAACCGGTTGTGTTAATTTTATTGCTTCTTCACTTTAATAGCTACAGGACTCTTTAGTATTAAAATATTATTAAGCTAGGCTATTTAAAGGTTTATAATTCAATATTTACATTATATTATGTTATGATTTACAATAAATTGTTTATTACTTACAGTGATTAAATATGTATTTAGTACTTACATTTAATATAAATCTTTTATATATTTTTTTTTTCATTTTATTTTTTTTTTTATTTTATTCCTTTATTATGTAGACATGTACGTAATAATTCTATGTAGACATGATTATTAGTTATATTTTATTAATGTTCAGAAATATTATTTGTGCTACTTTAGCTGTGATTAGTCTTGTCATTCCATCATTTATCGTGTACTTAGCTTTCGATAAAACACGTTCACAGGAAACTAAAGTGACCGTAATATGATATCAACTTTTAAAAATTTGATACAAAACTGGGTATATACTATATTTATGCGTCCGCCACCACGTCAATAGTCAAAACTTTCGTGAATTTAGAGTATTTAATAAACACAGACTTTATGGAAAAATCGAACTTCTTTAAGCATAACTGTGTATAAGTGTATAAGTGGCTGCCATGAAAGTAAAAAGTACTTTGCATAACTTAGATAAGCGGCTGCAGTTATGACGTCACTGAAGTCAAGTGGTCTCCACCATACCAATCTAAATGAGAGACCCTATTATATTATTAGCTTACAAAAACAGATGTTTCATGTAATTATTGGTATATTTTTCAGGTATTATGTGCACTGTCGTTCCTTGCTAGTGGTTGTTACCAAAGAATATGCGGCAAAAATATCAACACTTATGTGTCGCAGCCTTCAGTGTCCCGCTGTGTTCATGAGGTTGAGCTTGTGGAAGCCCGTCCTTCCCCCCGGCTCGGAGCCGGCCCTCATTCGTGCATATTTTTAAAGGTTCTGCTAAACATAGGCCCGCAACACACTCCCATGTTTTTTTTTAAAATGGGAATGACAAGATACTTCCTCTAAAATGGAAGAGGCTCTTAATGTGTTCCTGAATATTATCCTCGTGAACTTATATACTCGTGGCCAACGAAATATCCAAAAATGGTGCTGCAACACTGGCCCAAAATTCTAATTAAAGTGAGTCGACAAGAACTAGGAACAAATGCAGTCCGTGGGATATTTTTGATCAAATAATAGGGGCACCTTCTATCACAGGCACTCCATTATCAAAAGCCATAAAAGAAGTGGACACCTATTTGGCTGATGACTTATTACCAAGGACAAATACTTCTGGTGACTGGAACAATTCTTTGGAATGGTGGAGAACTCACAATTTTATTTATCCAAACTTGGCCAAAATTTACATAGAAAAATGTAACATAGTCGCAACATCAGTGCCGTGCGAAAGAATGTTCTCCAAATCGGGGCTGATTGTCAATCAAAGGAGAACTAGACTAACAACTAGCAAAATAGAGAAACTGCTATTTTTAAATGTTAACTTAGATGAAGACCCGTTTGCAGGCTATGAAATTTAATATGTAGGTAATTGTAAATAGAACAAACGGAAAAAAAAACAAAAAAAATTATGATTAATGTAAATACAATCAGATCAGATGATCTTTTAAGTACGCCTGGGTACTATTTTTACACAGCTAGTCCTAAGCCTGGAAAAAGTACGAAGGAAAGGTCATTCCAGTTGAATAAAAATAAAAGTAATCTAAATTCTTATTAAATCAATAATCATTAACTTAATTTGTCACAAAATTGTTAATTGTTATTGATCGAAAGCGTTGAAATATTAAATTGACGATTGAATAGAACTGCTAACAAATGAAGTTTTACAACCTGTTAATTATTTAACAGCTTTTTAAACCTGTTGACCATTAATGATTAACAGTTAAATTACATTAACTATAAATCTGTCAATGACCCATACCTAGATACTACTACGCATGGATCATTGGATGCGTTTGGCAGAAAAAAGCGCTAGCAAGCGCTTACAAGAGCTGAAATACTTTTCGGCCAGGACACGATTGCTACTTCAGTAGCGCTGACACAATCCGCCATTTTGCTTATTTCATTTTTTGTTTTGAAGTAAAGTTTATAAGTTTTTTTTGTGCAATATTAGTTTTAAGTAATATAATGACATGAATAGACATATACATGTCATTAAAAATTCATGATTGGTAAGTTTTTAATATGAATACTTTACAAATATATATTTAAATTAGGTTAGGTTCCACGGTTAAAACTGACTTCGTGTCCTAGAGGAAAATAGCTACTTACGATTTGACAGCGCTTACCGCTTACGATCGCCATTTTGCTTACAAGCGCTTGCTAGCGCTTTTTTCTGCCGAACGCACCCATTGTAAATCTGCATTCTGCAATTAAAAAAAATGACCTTTGATTTTTATTATTACTAATAAGATTTTTGATTTGGATGCTTGTCTTTTAAGCTTTATTTTTATTTATCTCAATATCTTTTATATTACACTCCTTTTATATTGCGTAGTTTTTGGGAGATATTGTCAGACACTTGAGCCAGCAGACAATTGATGATAGTATCTCAAGATGCCTAAGCAGACATATACCTTAACTTAAGACATCGCAGAATTTAACAACTCTGAAGAACCAATAGACGTGATTTGTCTAACAGAAACATTCGTAAAAAATGGAGATGAAGATAACGTAATTTTTAAAAACTTTAAACTGACTGCCAATTTCTCAAGAAAACAATCAAAACGTGGTGGTGTGTGTATTCTTGTAAAACATAAATTCAAGTATCGCATCTTAGATTTTTTACAACCGTTTTCAAAGGAAATTGAGTTTGAATGTTGCGGTATAGAATTGACTGAACAAAAATGTATTATTATTTGTATTTATAGAACACCAAGCTCGGAAATAAGTACATTTTTTACGAAACTTGATGCTTTATTACATAAGCTACGTGAAAAAATAAACAAAAAAATTATAATTGCTGGCGATTTTAACGTAAATATGTTAAATTTGAATAATAAATCTAATAGATTAAGAAGTTTATTAAAAAGCTATGGATTTCAAATGCATATAACGGAAACAACGAGACAAGATACATGTATAGACCAAATGGCAAGTAATATACAAGGAGCTATCGGAAAAGTCCATAAATTAGGTCTATCAGATCACAAGGGGCAAACATTAAGTTTTTTATTAAACGATACAACAAAGTCTCCTGGGCATTATTATATATTTAGAAGACAATACACGGAAAGTAATATTAGCAGTTTCTGCAATCACTTAAAATCATTATCATTCTTGGACGTATATGAGGAGGATAACATAGAAAAAGCATTTACAAAATTTTATGACACGTTTGTACTAATTTATAAGCTGTGCTTTCCCATAAATAGAGTCAAAGTAAATAATTTTGATCAAAAATTAAAATGGATTACAAATGGTATAAGAATTTCCTGTAGAACCAAACGTGCACTTCGCTATAAATATTATAAAAATAAAACTCACGAGAACAAAAATAAATATACACTTTATAGAAATATCCTAAAAAAAACTATTATACTGGCACAAAAGCAGATGAATCACAAATACGTACATAAATCAAAAAATAAAACTAAAGCCACTTGGAACCTAACAAAAGAAAATAGTCAGACACATCCAAATCTCATTGATAGACTCACAGTCAATAATCAAAATATACTAAATTCCGTTGAACTAGCTACAACATTTAATCAGCATTTCATCTATTCCATTAAAGACAGAATATCACGTAATAGTGCGGATAAATTAAGCGTAACTAGTAAGAAATCAATCTAGTATTTATTTAAGGCCATGTGATATAACGGAAATTAAGAACCATATTTCATCACTCTACATCACATCAAAATCTACTGGCTGTGATGAAATACAAACAAAAGTTTTAAAGAGGTGTCCAGAAAAATCATAGATGTATATGTATGTTTTCTCATTAATAAATCGCTTGAAGCGGGAATTTTTCCTAAATATTTGAAATTATCCGTTGTGATACCATTGCATAAAAAAGGTGACAGAAATAATATTAATAACTATAGACCAATTACATTAATATCAATATTATCAAAATTGTATGAGAAAGTAATGCAAAAAAGACTTTTAGACTTTTTTAACAAGTTTAACATATTAAAACCAAAGCAATATGGTTTTCAAAAAGGTAAATCTACGACACTGGCAACTTTTTCCCATATAAAAATCGTAACCGATAATATAAACAGAAAAATACCAATTTCTGCAGTGTACTTTGATATGAGCAAAGCATTTGATAGTGTTGGTCATGATATTCTCTTTAAAAAAATTGAAGCTTATGGT